CATTGCAGATTTCTGACGGCAAATACAAATACTAAACAAAGTTCTAACCCAGAAGAGAAGATTGATATTATGTCAGGCAATATTCGAACGGAATGAATTTAATTAGAAAATTCCTCTTTCTGCTGTAAATATAAAAAAGTTTCACACTGCTTCAACAACTTTTTAAAAATTCATATTAAAAGAAAGTGGGGGCAAATTCGTGTAAGATTCTCTTTGTCTCTCAAGTTGTCTGGTTTTTACATCAAACAATACAGATGTATATCTTTTTTTACAAGAACTATATTACGATTTCATATGTTAATCATCTTTAAAATGTGATCATATGTATCTTATGTAGTAAATGATATGTGAATGTTATGAAAGGAAGAATAAATGTCCTTAACACACAGAGTATGCAAATATGATTGCAACAATGCTGTGTAAAATCTAAAAAGTGAAGAATTTGTTGTTCCTGAGCTTGACTTGGGTTTTTGGTCCAAAGTTGTAAAGCTACATCAGAGAATGACTGCAAAGATGGGCGAAAAAAGCGAGCACAATGCCTATAGTGTGACAAACATGAAGGTGAAATATATATAATCTCAATTATAACAAAATTTTCGTTGATATTTCATCTAGAATTAAAGTATACTTTATCTCGAAAATTCGCAAAATCTCACAAAGATTGAAATTATTTGCCTATGAAATAACATACACACACTTAAGAGAGCAAAAAGGATCATTTTCTCATACTATAACATAATTTTTCGATATGAGTTGGTCTAACACACAACACGCCGTCACGCTAACGCAACTTTACACAACACGCCGTCACGCTAATATAGAACACGCCGTCACGCTAACACAACTTTACACAATCTACTGTGTGTTAGCGCGGAGGCGTATTGTGTAAAGTTGCGTTAGCGTGACGGCGTGTTGTGTTTTAGCGCGACGGCGTGTTGTGTAAAGTTCTGGTAGCGTGACGGAGTTTTGTGTGTTAGCTTGAAGGCGTGTTGTGTAAAATTGCGCAGTGTTTAAAAATGTAAAATCAATTTTATTTTCAAAAAAATCTCATAGATCCAGTGAGATTATTTACGGGGGGGAAAAATGAAATAGCCCGGGGTCTATATCCAGGAAGGGCAGTCCTATTCTCAAACACATGTGTTCAAAAGGGAAAAGGCCGTTGTGCTATGAAATAGATAAATTACATTCAAACTTAACTGGGCAAGAGATGTTAAGGATGAATTGTTTAGAATGGGAGTTGGGAATTTTCGGATTAATCAAGATTTTATCAATCCAACACAGTTTATATCTTATACAAGGAAAGACTGTTGGACATCTACTTTAATTTCAAGCTTGCAATGCTTTTTTTTTTTTTAAATTTCAGCCAAGTGTTTCTTGTATAAGCACACTGTGTGCAATTTTTCCCAAAATCCATGCATATTTGACAAAACTTATCTCATTCTGGGTTAAAGAACTACAGTCACTGTGTATATTTTTAGAATAAGGCTTTCTTCTCATTGCATAAATTTAGAAAAAGGTAGAATGTGCCATTATCACATAATTACATTATTATCACAGTATCGAAGATGAATATCATTTTTTGCTTCAATGCCCTATCTATGATTCTTTAAGGTGTAATATCCTCTGATAAGAGAGATAACTTTCCATGCAGGAAAATTATCTCAAGTTATCCCATGAATTGTCTTACCTGAGTTTAATAATGAGGACCATTTTTATAGTTAACTCATTCAAATCAGACTGTTACAAATATTGATTTCTATTTTCTATTGCCAATATTTTTTATTAATTACTGATAATAGTTTACCTAAAACATTTATACTCAGTTCTTTTAAACCGTTAAAACTGAGATATTTCTATCTCTTGATATACAATTCTTTTAAGTGTTACAGAAATTTTAGATACAAAATTTTTATAATCAAATAATTGATATTCTTTTACTGAAATATTTTAAAGAACGATAACTCCTGTAGATGGAGAGATCATTCTTTTTTATTTTATATTTGGAAATCGTCCAGACCTGATGTATTACGTTGTGCATTCTCTTTAACTCCTTCATACATGAAATGTTATACCACTTAAATATTGTCAAAATGTCGCGGGATTGAAACAGAGGAAATACAAGACAATCTTCCAAATTTAAAATTTTATATTAAAGCTAAAAAAAAGTTGCTTTTTTTAAAGAAATGGTTATTCTGGGGATTGAACCTCGGTCGCTTCTCTGAAAATCCAACACGCTTATCATTACGCTAGGTGCTACATGTAGTTAAAGAGAAACAAAAAAATACCACGACTTAAGTTTTCATAAAAACTTATTTTCGTGTGCTTAGCCGTAGTTAAAACTAATCTAATGTTTTCTCAGACATCCGAGATAAATTCGATGAGAACCTCTGAGAAAACGTTAAATTGAAATTCTTCTTAACTCGACACGGATGTCGGAGAAAACATTGGATTGAAATTCTACTTTATTCGATGCAGACGTCTAAGAAAACATTAAATTAAAATTCTACTCCATATGCGCACTACATTGATTTGAAATTCAACTTCATTCGACGCGGACGTGTTAGAGAACACTGGACTGACATTCTGGTTTTCACTCAAATTTGGACCCAATGTTTTCGCAGACGTCCGATACGCTAACGGCTACGCCAGCAGGGACCATCGCTAATACACGTTTCAAAATGAAAAATGACGAATTCTTGGAGTATGGATTATTCAATTTTAAAACGAATTATGTACTCAATATTCTGATAATTTTTAATTCTTTACTGGGATGAATCGAGCCGATATAATGACGAATATTGATCAATTTCATAAATTGAAAAATTGAAAAACTGGGCAAAACATGGACCCTGGACACACCAAATGATTTTAAGTCAGTAACATCAAACTCCCGATAAATAAAAAAAATTAGGCTTTCGATATCATAGACAACTACTTCTTCAATAAAAATGGAAATTAGAAATTCTCAAACCTTGTGATTGGTCATAAATTATCATTGGGTGATATGTTTATTATGATGGATAAAACAAAAAAAGTTCAGTAAAAAAATGCTTGAGGTATGAGCAGAATACAACCTTAGTTAACACAACTGCCTTGGCCGGTGGAATTTTCTAACCTCGATATACATCTTGTCCTCGTCAACAGCACATGAGATGACAAATTCTTACTACTGTGTAGAAATTTGTCATAACATGTTATAACAGTTACCTTTCAAAGAGAGAAGTATAAAACTTTTTATATTTGCAAAAACTTTATAGATGTGCATCTGATTTTAAAAGGTATACACTGACAATTGCTAACGCATCATCATAGAAATTAAAATTTACCTTTTCAAAAGTTGTTTAAGACGTATCTGATAAAATGAAAATGTAACCATGATTGAAAGTTAGACGTGTAGATGGCCGGACAGGTATTTGAATAAATAAATCATAACGAAAGAATACCCATTTCACAGATATTCATGAAAATCGTGCTCACACGTTTAAGAGGAATACGAGGAACAAACAGGACTGGGTATGTAGCGTTTGAACATAGATGAGAGTGGTAGGGCAGTTAGTATGGTGTCTGTAAGGTTTTCCTTTGCGGAAGATTTTTGTTTGAAATAAAGCAACTCAAAAATTGTATTTTTATTAGTTGAAAAGTACTTTCAAATTGACTAGATTAAGGAATGTAAAATGCCTGCTGTGGGTAATAGACACCATACGTCTATTACAAGATTGTACCATAAAATTGTGGCAATCGGAAGTGTGATGGACCGGGTACGGATTTCTAAGCACTAAGTGACTACTAGGCGACGTGTTTGGTATTTTACGTAATATTAATTGATAGTCAAGGTAACCATCGCTGTTGCAATCTCTCTGAAAATCATCGTTAACCTACATGAAATATATGGAGATAACGAACAGCATTCAAGCTCAAAAGTCCATTAAACAATACAAAATAGGAGCAGAGCAAACACGGACCTCTAAACATCAGAGGTGGGATCAGGTGCCTTGGAGGAGTGAGCATCCCCTGCCGACCGGTAACACCCGCCGTGTGCTCCTTGTCATGATCGGGAAATAACGGAAAAATCCGTCGACAATTCAGTGTGTAAATAATGGCCTAACTACATCTCATAGCATTACACAAAAGGTACGAAATCGGCTTCTGGAAATTAGGTTATGCGCAATGGAATTGAAATAAAGACATCAGCAAATTCAACTGCGTAATTACGTAATTTTTTTGCCCTATATTTTGTTTTAATGAAGTGCAGTTTAACTTTTGAAATGAAAGAGAGAAATGAGAAAAAATAGTTACATTATTTTTCTATTAATCGTAATGTATTGAATAAATTTATACGCGATCTTTCCATCTATTAGTTGTACAGAAACACACCATGTAAATGATTTATCTTAAGCTGGGCTTACAACTTAACATAAAAATACACACAAGAATAATTTTAGATTGACCTTTAAGACATTTTTATATACTGACATATTGGAATCAATTGCAGAAGGGTGTTTTATTTCCAAAGCAGAACGTGTGCAAGAATTAACTGTTTATCTCTCTAAGCAAAAATATACAAAAAAGACAATATCATGAACCTTTACGATGTTTATATAAATGCATCTTTTTTGACAAATAAGAAAAAACATTTTTTGTTCTCTCACAAAATATTCTGATAAATTGTATTTAGTAATGATCGTTTTCAAAACGTTCTATTTCTCTGTGTGACTGTTCCGAATACACGTATTTTCATAAATTTCAAGTTCGTAACATTCTATTGGCTTCCTGTTAAGTTCAAAGTTTTGGACATATCTTGCGGAAGAAGTACCTGTTCCTTGCACTGGATCACCTGATACGGAATGGCTTGAGCTAAATTCAGAATCAACGTTACCTTCGAATTCCTTTCTTTCCTCTCTGTGTTTTTTTTACAAGGGTGATTATTACCGACAAAAAAATCAACAGAAGAGTGAAAATAACGGCTCCTCCAATAGTAATGATAGTTATAAAATTCTCCATTAAAGACTGTCCCTCTCTTTGTGTTGTTGTGTTCCATTCAACAAAAATTTGGGGAATTTCTGGGGGGAAAAAAATTAAAATTTAAATGCTGGAATCTTACAATATTGCCTTCTTAATTACTTAATTAAAAAGCATTTCTGGATACCTGTGGCCAATTGACATCCAGTAATATGATTACAAACTGTCTTAGAACAGCTATACTTAGATTGACAACTTTTTCCATAACTAGGAAATCTACAGGGAATTAAGCAAATGATTCCATAATATCCGACTTTACAATCTAAAAAGAAATAATTGAAAATAGTATACAATTATCTGTCCAGAGACAAAGATCAACGTATATAACGGTAGTACAATACCTAGCAATTATCATTCAAAAAATCTGAGCGACTTAATTCCTACTGTTGAATTTAAAAAAAAAAAATCAAAGCATAAGCGATGAGCAAAGCACAAAAGACAGTTATTTTAATTTAAACTTTTGGAATTTATCAAGTATCTCTTCAAGATGATTTGTTCATTTTTACACTACAATAAAGAACTGTATAGCCGTTAAATGAAAATATGATTTGCAACTCAAAGAAACAAAATTAAAATTGTGGAAACAAATGCATTAGACAATGTCTCTCAAAATATCTGATAAATGGGTGATAATTTGACATTGCATTGTGAGTCAATCGGAAATAAATAATTATAATTCTAAATTGTTTCCATATAATAAATGTACTTTACATTCGGAATACTTACTTGAACTATTTCGACATCCATCTGCTATATCACAAAATTCTCGTGTACAGTTGCATTCTGCCTGACAATTTTTCCCATAGTTCGGATATCTACAGGGACTAGAACAATTCGGGCCGAAAAAACCCATTTTGCACTCTAACATATATGAAAAAATAAAGATAGTTTTATTAAATCCGAGACATTTAGCTTTATAAGATACATTTAAATTGACAATTTTTTCTATAACTAGGAAATCTACAGGGAAATACTATATAGTAAGCAAATGGTTCCATAATATCCAACTTTACAATCTAAAAAGAAATAATTGAAAATAATATAAAATTATCTGTCCTGAGACATGGATCCAAGTAGATAACTGTAATACAATTCCTAGCGATTATCATTCAAAAAAATTTAAGCGACTTAATTCCTTCTGTTCAATTTTAGACAAGACTGTTTTAAGGAGATCAAAGCATAAGAGATAAGTTAAGCACAGGAAACAGTTATTTTAATTTAAACTTTTGGAATTTATCAAGCATATAAGATCTTTTCAAGATGATTTGTTCATTTCTAACAATATAATAAAGAACTGTATAGTACATTAAATGAAAATATGATTTGCAACTCAAAGAAACAAAAGTAAAGTTGTGGAAACAAATGCATTAGACAATGTCTCTTAAAATATCTGATAAATGGATGATGATTTGACATTGCATTGTGAGACAATCGAAAATAAATAATTATAAATCTAAATTGTTTCTATATAGGAAATGTACTTTGCATTCGGAATACTTACCTGAACTATTTCGACATCCATCTGCTATATCACAAAATTCCTGTGCACATTTGCATTTTTCTTGACAATTTTTCCCATAGTTCGGATATCTACAGGGACTAGAACAGTTCGGGCCGAAAAACCCATTCTGCACTCTAATACACATTAAAAAAATAAAAATAGTTTTATTAAATCTGAGACATTTAACTTAATAAGATACAGTGAAAAGGAAAGTACCTTCGCATGTATTTGAATCCTCACTCCAGTAGAAGCCGGGGAGACAGCATTCTATTTCACTACACAAAGAAAAAAAACACTAATTCATTATTCAAACGTGAATTACGGCATGAAACGTAAATATTATTGTTTCTATAAAAATAAATTTACCGTGAACAAGTTGAATAAACAGTTGTAAAGGTATATAAAATAATGAAAAAAATAATGAGAAAAATGTTTAGGCTTTTCATTATCGAACTATTTTCTGAAAGTGTTATAATTTCTAAAGCCATTTCATTTTTATAGTGGTTTCCTGTTCTGTTTGTTTTGTAAGCAAGTTATGTGAACAGGTGTTTCAATTTAACCTACATGCTAAATGAAAACATTTGTTCCTCACACGTGATTTTTTTTCCCTTGAAAAATGATTGTAAGGGTCTATACAAGGTTCTTGCATCGATTTATGTGGACAAGATAATGGGATGTAGAGAAAGGTCCTACGGATGAGACCGTATAAACCGAGGTCCCATGTCGCAGTTGGTGATGGCACGAAATAGGTCCCTCACTGCTCAATGGCCTTTAGTGTCGAGTATACATGTAGGTCTAAATTTGCAGCCCTTCACCAGCAAATGGTGATGTCTCCAAATGAGTGAAAATTCTCGAGAGGGACGTTAAACAACAAACAAACAGACAAAAAAAATTGTTAATAATAACATAACTAGAGCAAAACTCGTTGCAAAGCAACGAGTAGGTCTATCTTCAGATTTTTATTATCACTGCCTATATGCACAGTTTATGAAGATTCATAAAGAATGCCATTCAACAAAAATAATGTCGGATATCTTTAGTAAATTTTCATTCATTTTTAAGCCGGTATCTGCAAAAAATCCATTTGTGACTGGAAATGACCCAAAATGATTCATTTAAAATGTGGTCAGACATCCTTACTGATAATAATCATTCAATTTCATGCCGATTAATGCAAAAAAGACATTTTTGAATGCTTCTGATTTAGTTATTACATCACTTGACGACCATTAATACAATACAAATCGGGAGCAGAGCAACGACCAGTTTTCTTCTGACAGTAAATGAGTTACGGTCTTACTGTATCAAATGCAGTCATATCCCTCCCAGAAAAAAAATGATATTCTAATAGCAACTCAATATTCACTTTGTCGCATGTTTACATTTTGACCCCAGTGTGTGAACAAACAACTTTTATCCATCTCATACACGGAGTACATCCCCCTTTCAAATAATTATTAAATTTTGAAACTGGAAAATTGCATGTGCCGCGCGATATTCTTCTGAACCATAAACATTTTAGTCGATTGATTCCCCACAATCAATAACATTATTAAGAATTATTTTGTTTGTTAAAGGTGATTCGTGTCTTTTAATACCAATATACCACAATACAGAGGCAACATGCGCACAGCATCCTACCAACCGCTCACCCGATCTGCACTGAGAATACCGGTATTTTACTGGATCCTTTACATCTGCGCAATCGTACTGTACCCAGATATAGTAAGACTTTGAGGAGACATGCCTAGACTGAATTTTGGCTTGCAAAATATTTGGATTATTTTTTCCAATAAATATATCATATCCACCATCATCATTTACATCACTACTGGACGAAAAAAGTGCTGAGAATCCCAAAGTTTACTGATAATGTTTGATAATTACTGATACGGTGCTGTTCTTGCTGTTATTTAGCTACATGTATGAATGTCTATAATCAGTTAAATATCAAAATATGAAACAAATGGAAGACAGTCATAAAGGGAGATTACGTTAAGAGTTATAACAAATAGCCATTTTGCGATTTTCAATATGTGCTGAGAACAAAATAGGCTTAAAAGATAGAAATATGCATGTAAATAATGCTGTTTTATTGCATTTTAATTGCGCATTCGTCCAGTGTTGATCAAAAAGGGCATAAAGAAGAATTAAACATTGCGGTTCAAACCTTGACATCAATCACCTGTTATAAATTGTGTATCTGTTGGAAAAGGGGTCATTTTTCAACGGGGATCAATTTTTTATAAGACGCAGATATAAAAATATGACCCCTAGGGCTCTTTTTCTACAAAAAATTAATTTTTTCTACAGCTGGGGGTCATTTTTTGTCATTGAAAAATGACCCAAGGTCATTATTCTATGGGGGTCATTATTCGTCTTTACACCGGCATTTGCGTCAAGGTGAAGGGTTGTTAAGATGGGCCAAGTAAAAAGATATTTTAGTTTTAGACCGTGGGTTTAGGGACTCCTTAGATATTTCTGAAACAGTTGGGTTCAAATCAGAAAGTCCTTTTTTCTTACAGAAGGGAAGTAAACAGCATTCAACAAAGGAAGCCAACTTGTCACGTTTAGTAACAAAAATCAGGTTGGCGGTTGAGTCTGCAAATGGTAGACTAAAGACGAAAGACGTGGAAATGTTTAGCTAACGTAGTGACCAATATCCACGTGTTGTTTACTGGAGACTACGTTCGCATTGTTGCTTCCCTTATTAACGCTTTTAGGCCACCAATTGCTAAAAATTCTCCGACAGATTCCACTGTGGCAAAGAGGACGTTGGAAAAATCAAAAATTGAAGTAAATCCATTAAAAAGTTTATTTATTAAAGATAATGGGAGAACTGCTGTCAAATTGTGTAAAATTTATGCTGCTGAGGCAATGCAAGATTTCCCTGTGTTAACAGAAGAATATCTACGTTCGCTAACTTTTGGCATTTATCAGTTAAAACAGGCCCTTTCATACTCCTCTGTTCAGACTTGGCCCATTTTAACAACCCTTCACCTTGACGCAAATGCCGGTGTAAAGACGAATAATGACCCCCATAGAATAATGACCTGGGGTCATTTTTCAATGACAAAAAATGACCCCCAGCCGTAGAAAAAATTAATTTTTTGTAGAAAAAGAGCCCTAGGGGTCATATTTTTATATCTGCGTCTTATAAAAAATTGACTCCCGTTGAAAAATGACCCCTTTTCCAACAGATACACAATTTATAACAGGTGATTGATGTCAAGGTTTGAACCGCAATGTTTAATTCTTCTTTATGCCCTTTTTGATCAACACTGGACGAATGCGCAATTAAAATGCAATAAAACAGCATTATTTACATGCATATTTCTATCTTTTAAGCCTATTTTGTTCTCAGCACATATTGAAAATCGCAAAATGGCTATTTGTTATAACTCTTAACGTAATCTCCCTTTATGACTGTCTTCCATTTGTTTCATATTTTGATATTTAACTGATTATAGACATTCATACATGTAGCTAAATAACAGACAAGCGGGATGTTCTGGCTTTTCATTGGTAAACATGTCTCTCAAAGTATTCAGCATGCATTGAGTACGATCAACTTTATTTTTTAAAAAGTGAATGAAAAAAAAAAAATGAATGAGATAAGTTTTCGGAAATAAATACGGGAAGATATGCAATGTAATATTTATATATTTTTTCAATGACATAAAAGGTGTGTAAATGAGGTAGAATGTATCGCAAATGACATAATATCTCGAGCGAACGACATACTGTTGATATATTTCCTAATAATAAAAAAGGTGAAGATAACAAGAGTGATGATTTTAAAAATCCACAAATAATACAATTCTGTTAACAGGGCATAAAAAGGGCCCCTGAAAATTGCAGAGGTAGGATCAGGTGCCTAGAAAGAGTAAGCATCCCCTATTGACCCGTCACACCTGCCGTGTGCCCTATAAATAAATCAGGGGACATTCCGTAGTCGAATCAAGTATAGAAAAAAAGGCCGAACAATTGACCCAATTATAGGTTATATTTGTTGACAGGGTCATTGATACGACCATTGAATTTACGAAATGCTGACTTTAAACGAGGTTTTTGAAACCCCTGTGACATCAACTTAAATGTATCTGTCAGTAGCCTGACTCGATTTAAAAATTAAAAAAATCGTGTTCTTGGGTATCGAATAATTTGGTACACGTTAACATCATATGCAAATGATAGCGGAATATTACTACATAAATAAGGAAAGTTTACGATGGAAAAAAGCTGAAGTCATCCTGCTTGTAAGACAATTTAGTAGTAAGTTGGTCTTTAGCGTATATAGTCAGCAGGACGTCCAAATATAAAGCAGACGTGGCAAACATAAAAAGGACATAAAATCTCTGCATGTCTAAAATATATACAATCGCATAATGTGCCTTCAATTTTATTTATAAACAGTGGTCTATGGGATTTTCTTTTCAAATATATAGAAGTAATAAAGTAGGATCCCAGTATAATTTACATATGTACATTCAAGTCTGTTAACATGGTCGTCTGAGAAAAGGATACATACATGTAAGAGGAATAATTTTCTTTAGAAATCCACTTTTAAACAGTGATGCATTTGTCAAATAAATATGGAAACATTTCAATATAGTGTATATTGAAGTAGATAAATGTTTTTAATTTATCATTAAAGACAGACCATTTTATTGACCTTCCAGGTGAATATAAGGATTTATTTTTCCTACACTGAACTAGATAGATTGGAAACAACTCTGAAAATTTATTGCACCTGCATCCGAATTCCACTCAAGTTAACATAATATTCAGGCTCAAAGAATCGGAGAAGGGGGTGGGGGATTGCTCACCCCTCCTTTTTCTGAATGTAAATTTTAGCAATTTCTAGTTTAAAAATGTTCATTGAAAGTTTTGTAAACACCCCCTCTTTTTTATACAATATAGTTTAAAAAATCTCTCCTACTTGAGTGGACATGGAGAACATAACATTCAGGCACATAGAATCAGGGGTGGGGTGGAGTGTCTCCCCCCCTTTCCATTTTCATGAACGCTATTTTTTTATTCTTTAGCTTGAAAATGATCATTGCAAGTCTGGTTGCCCTACCCCAAAATTTTTAATACAGTAGAGTAAAAGGAAATTCCCCTTACATCAATAGACTTTTTAAGGGGTTCATCAAAGATATGTTTTGGGTAACTTGTCATCTGGCCTCTTATAATGCCCCATTTCCCCTTTTGATGCTATGCC